AAATTGCAGCAGGTGTAGGAAAATAGAAAATGAAAAAAATCTGTAATTGAAAAAGGGAAGTTTTGGGGAAAAGGAAATCATAGAAGTAAGAATAGAAATTTTTATATGCCCATATTTAAAGTATACTTTTCAGAAATTGAATTGCCCAGTCAAGTGTCTTAAGGTTTATTGGACAGGCTGTACATACATAAAATGATCCTATATGCAAAGAACTGGCATTTAATCAACATGCAGTCTCCCTTTTTCATACCCTTTATCTGATTCCCATGACGTCCTTTACCCCTACTTACAACAGCCAGGATCCCCAGAAGGAATCCTGTAATTCTGTGACAAGTTGCTGTGTAATGTTGGTTTTTGATGCTGGGTTGGTTCGTTCTCTCTCTCTCTCTTCTCCAGTATTTTGCACTATTTCCTCGCTACCCAGAGTTTATTTTACAGAACGTAAATTAGGATCTGTCTGAGATCACACAGTGAATACATGACAGACCAGGATTCAACCCCAACACCTATTGCTACTGCTGCTGCTGCTGCTGCTTCTGCTTCTTCTGTTTCTCCTCCTCCTCCTCCTCCTCCTCTTTCTTCTTCTTCTTTCTCTTCTTCTTCTTTTCATCACAGAATCTGCGTAATATTGCCACAATATGCCCTACCTGTCACCATGGGGCTAATTTACATACTTAACCTACTTGGGGTCCAAATACGTGGTTGGGTGCAGATCCACCTTGTACAAGGCAGTTTGGGGGCTCCAGTCACACCATAGTTTTTCTGAGTGTCTCCTCTTGCTCAAGCTGTGCTGTGTCAGTTTACTTGGTCATGCGCAGTGGCCTGGATTAGGTCCACCTCCTCTGAGCACCCACAGGACCCACAGGGTCCTGTACAGAGTTGTCTTGCACTCATCATTTTATGCTGTGGTATATTAATTAATGTAATGTATTTGATATTTATATATATGGCATCCTTATGTCCTGCTTCCCTCACTTGGGGCAGAAATGATGTCATTCCACATGGGGTCCCATCTTCCCTGATTACTAGGCTGGGCTTCCTCACCCTGTCAGGCCCTTCCCCTGCCACGAACCCGAGTGCCACAGATGCACATGTGCGTTCGGAGGGGTAGCCCTGGTTACTCTCGCCTCACTGCTAAGGCCCAAACTGAGGCTGGATGGCCCCTCACACTGATGCTGATTGCTCGATGGCTCCAGGGATGCCTCTACATCACTGCTGCCGCCACCGTCCTAACTGAAGCCAGAGGCCTGATGTGACTGATGAAGTATGACAGGTGGGGAGAGAATGCTGGGGCTGAGCCTCCTGCTCGGTCCCACCTCTCGTGCTAAGCAAGGCAATGTGTCCTTGACGTGGGCGGGTGGGATGCTACTTCCCTTAGGGTCTCACTCAGCCAAGTTGGCTAGGGATCCTGGCATTCCAGCATTTTCAGTGCAGCTGTTAGGGGGAACATGGGGCGGGGGGACATAGGTTCCGTGGACAGCTGTGGAACCAAACCCCCAGCCCTTTTCTAATCCCAAATCTTGGGTGCTGACGCCACACACTACTCCTCGCAGGGGCTTCCTGCCAGATGCATTTTCCCCATCAAACAAAATTTAAGAAATCTGAAGTAAAAAGGAAAGGGGTCAAGCTCTTGGTCCCAGTTCTTTTCTTTTCTTTTCTTTTTTTTTAAACTTATTTATTTTCTAATTTACATCCAAGTTAGTATATGGTGCTATAATGATTTCAGGAGTAGATCCCAGTGATTCATCCCCTACATATAACACCCAATGCTCATCCCAACAAGTGTCCTCCCTTATGCCCCTTACCCATTTAGCCCATTCCCCCACCCACAACCCCTCCAGCAACCCTCAGTTTGTTCTCTGTATTTAAGAGCCATTGTTCCCCAGCTAAAATGTCTGGGAGACGACTCCACCCGTCTGCACCATGAGTTTGCTGAAGGCTCCCCCTCACATGGGTCTCCCCGGTCCTGCCACAGTACACGGATGACCCGGAATAAACCCAGGAGCATTTACCAAATCAGCAGCATTTCCCTTCTTGTTTCACTAGCTTTCCTAAATCTGTTTTTTAAAGTCCATTATTTCGTTTTTGAGTCAACATCTATTGGCCATATTGCGGGTGGGGGGAGAAAAAGCTATAGTATAAAGCTTCAGGTCACTGAAGATGCTGGGATTGAGATAAGTGGCCAGCCTGTGGCCCTGGGGTGCCTGGGATCCCAAAAGCATTCTGGGAAGGCGTTAGAATGAGTAACCAGAAAACAAATTGCTGTTTAAAATTGTAGTAAACTGTAATTAAATGGAATATTATATGTTCCCAATATGGCCTAAAATGACATGAAAATGGAGAAGCATATGAGGATATTAATCCACTAGGAACAGAGAAGTGTAATTTGTAATTGTATTATAGAATGGAGGGAGAGCACTTATCTCAGTTGCTTGATGATTCCTTTTAACTTCTGTTCCCTCCTGCTGCTCCTCCTCCTCCTGCCACTCCTCCTCCTCTTCTTCCTGCTGCTCCTCCTTCTCCTCCTGCTGCTCTTCCTCCTGCCGCTCCTCCTCCTCTTCCTCCTGCTGCTCCTCCTCCTCCTCCTGTTGCTCTTCCTCCTCCTCCTCCTGTGGCTTCTCCTCCTCCTCTTCCTCCTGCTGCTCCTCCTCCTCCTCCTGCTGCTCCTCCTCCTCCTCTTCCTCCTGCTGCTCCTCCTCTTCCTCTTCCTGTCGGGCTCTTGCAGAGCAGGTCAAAGAGCCTGTTAATTTGTACTCTGTTTCAGGCCTTCAGTGGGTTAATATTGTTGCCTTGTATCTCTGTACAGCCCAGAGTAGTGTCAAGTTATATTATTCCTTCCAGATCATGTTTTTGTTTTTGCTTAAAGATTCTGAGAAAGCACTGAAATACCTAAGCCCTGAAGTAACAGGTGTACGATGGAAAGCAGACTATAGAACAATGCGGTACCATTGCTATCAACACCCCCTGGGCAGGCCCTCCTTCATCTTCCCTCTTCTCCAGAGTTCCTGAGGGTGCCACGTACACCCACATGGGAGCACCTTATCTGCCCCGAAGGCCTGGAGGAGGAGGCTCCAGCTGGACAGAGCACAATTATGTGTCTGACATGGTTTAATAACTAGGAGGCAATGTACCGTTACAAGTCAAGATGTAGATTAAATACTGAGCGACATGGGCACGCAGAGAAAGAAGGAAGCCCTGTGGGCTGGAGGGGTCAGGGAATGTCTCAAAGGACAGGGAAATAAGTGGAGGCCTGAAGGGATGGGGAACGTTTGAATGGTTGGCATGAATTATGTGAGAGAAGATGTGGGGGTGAGAATCAATCAGCCCATCAATAATTATCTAATGTGGCCTCATTTTGGAGAAGACATACACTCTAGGGAATGCACTGAGTGCCCTGAAGACGGCAAGCTAGCCAGGTTGTTAGATATTAAAGGCTCATAGGAGAAATGGTTAGAAAGGTAGATTAAGGCCAGTTTGCTGAGGGCCTTGAATGCCAAGTAAAAAAAGGTTTGGAATTTATCCTGTAGGCCAGGGTGTTCCACCCACATGGGATGTCCCACCATGGGTTATAAGTGAATGGAGGTAGTGGCCTACTTTGGGGAGGTTGGGGGTACCTAGACATCCCAGTGTCCATACTCATTTATCCCTGTCTCCATGCAAATATCATAGTCTATGTTTGCCTTGACTTGGAAACGTTTGGCTCTCACTGCCCTATAGACAATGCATCACTGAAGATATTTGGGCACTTGGTGTGATATTTTGAGTTATAATTTTATTTTCCTCCCCAAATGGACTATAAACTTCTCCAAAACAAGAACTTTCTTATCTTTCTTCTGCTGTTCCCACTTTGCTGCGTGGGGAGCAAATGCTCAAGAAACACTTGTGATTATTTCACTAATTGATATTATGGCTTTAAAAAACTAAACATTGCAAATCACCTACTGGGGATGACTACTATGCTTGCTTCCAGGAAGGCCTAGAAAGCATACAATTCCAAACAAGAGTAGCTCTAAGTGGTGGGTCAGAAAAATAAGCTTCAAAAGAATGTAAAAACACTTATGCTGGCGGTCATGTTCAGAAGAACTGTGAAGAAAGAAAATACCGGACAGTCTCAAGAGGTGAATAATATAGAAGAATAATTCTCTGGGTTAAGACTGGGGCTTTTGCTCTTCGAGAATCAAGACTGACTAATTCGTATGTTAGAAACCTCCTGATCATAATTCTAGTATATTCTATGTAGCAGTCATCAGGCTAACAAAAATTTCCCCCTTTATTAATGTTTTTTTTTATTCTCAGGTGGGGGTGGATTGTGATGTCCCATTTAAAGGTGAAGGGATGTGACCAGTCTGTAGTCCTTCAAAATGTTACATAAAGCTACCATACTACCCAGTAATTCCATTGCTAGGTAGCTACCCAAACAAAATTAAAACATACGTCCACACAAAAATATATGAATATTCATAGCAGCATTATGTATAATAGCCAAAAAGTGGAAACAACCCAAATTTCCATAAATTGGCAAATGGATAAGTAAGACATGGTACATTCATACAATGGAATATTACTTAGCAGTAGAAAGGATCGAGGTGCTGATAGGCTACAACTGGAAACCATGCTAGCGAACCAACTCATTCATAAGAGACCACATTTTGTATGACTCCATTTCTGTGAAATGTGTGGGGTAGTCACATTAAAGACAGCAGGTTGCCTAGGGCTGAGGGGTGTGAGGGAAATGCGGAGTGAATGGTAATGGGTAAGGACTTTCTTTTTGAGATGATGAAAATGTTCCAAGATTAGATTATGGTAACAGGAGTGCCTGGGTGGCTTAGTGGGTTGAGTCTCTGACTCTTGATTTCAGCTCAGGTCCTGGTGCCAGGGTGGTGGGATCGAGCCCTCCCACCCCCTTCGGACTCTGAGTGTGAAGCCTGCTTATGATTCTCTCTCCCTCTCTCCCTCTGCCCATCTCCTCTGCTCGCATGTGCTCTCTCGCATAAAAGAAATGAAGTAAAATAATTAAATTTAATTTAATTTGGAAAAAGATTATGGTGACAGTTGCACAGCTGTGTGTACTCAAAGGCATGGGAAGAAAGCTGAGACGGTGCTACAAATGAAAGGCTCCAATCACAGTGAAGGAAGAGCTGTTCTGCTCGGCAGGCAGTGCCTTTCACCTGACGGCTGGTTTGTGTCCCCGTATATTTCTCCAAAAGAGCATCATGGTTTGGCGGGTGGAAGACAGTACAGCTAACCTTAAGGAGGAGGCGGAGGAGGATCAGGTTAGTGTGGGGAAAAAGGGAGGTTAATAGAGCAGATTGGTGCTCGTGAAGGCACAAAAGGGGTCTGGCAACAAATTGAAGCCTGCTCTTCTCTCCCCTCCGTGGGTCCCGGTGGTCTGCTCAGCAGCCGACCTACCGACCAGCTCTCCGCGGCGTGGACAGCTGCTGCACTGCCACCCTCTCTCCTTTAAAGGCGGACGCCAACCGCTTCCGTGTGGTAAGCGAGTCCCGTTTTCTTGGTCGGATTTAGGAGCAAAGATCTGCTCCTGAGCAGTAGAGGGCACTGTTAGCACGTAAAGTCTGGGCTGAAGGGCACAGGAAGCCTGAAGTAGTGGAGCTAGTCTGCAGGGCATTAGAATCTAACGCTCTAAGACTAAAACAACATACTTTAGATTTTAGAACACAATTGCCACATTCTTGAAATAATGATTAGGCAACCATGCCACGGTATTAAAATAAAACCAAACTGCAGCAGCACTGTTAATTCCTAGAAGGATGTTTATTGAGACAGTCTGGACATTTTTTTTTTTTTCATCCAGTAAATGAATGCCTACTGTGCAGAGTCCTTTGACACAGCCTAAAACTATAAATCCAAAGAGACACCCGAGGGCTGCTCTTGTCAGATTGAGAAAATGAAGCCGTTTCATCCATATCTACATTTGTCACTTGAGCTCGGAATCCTATTGGATTCTATTCAAGATGGAAGTATTGTCAGGAAACATCTGATAGAAAAGGAGAGAAAATTGTTGGTTTTCATCTTTTCCCTGCCACCTCAACGGTGTGCAAACATAATAGCCAAATTTATTTAGTGCCTACCGTATGCCAGGCATTGTTCTCAGTGCTTTACAACCTCAATATAAAAGATGTGGTCTGTGGGCCAGCATCTCCAGCACCACTGGGAGCTTGTTAGACAAGCAGAACCGCAGGGGGCACCCCAGAATCTGCACTTTAAAGAGATTTGTATGCACATTAAAGTTTCAGAGGCACATGTATTGTCTTACTCAATATCCACAACCATCCTGTGACAGAGGTATTATTATTATCTCCAGTTTAAAGTGGGAAACCAAGGCAAAGAGAAGTTAAAGAATTTGCCCTGTACAAAGTTGTGACTTTTAATGCAGGCAAAATAGCTTCCATGCTCGTGCTTTTATTCAAATTGCTTAACATTTTTTTCTTCTTTATCTTCTCCCCTCATATGCATAAAATGGACATAATAGACACGTCTACCTTATTATCATATTTGTTAAGTAGTCACTGTTTATAAATGTATTTGAGACCCTTAAGGCAAAGGTACTTTTTATGGGTTAGTTACACAAAGTAAACTCTAAGCACTCTTTTCTTAGGGGTGCTTTTTTACCACAAGTACATTTTATCATAAATCTGTTTTTATGTCTGCCTAACATACCTGTAACACACCAGGTACACTCATACCCCAGGGCCTTTGCACTTCCCCCACATATCTGCACACCTACCTCTCTCACCTCCTTCAAATCTTTGTTTAAATAGTACATTCTCCAGAAGACTTCCTTGATTACGCTATTCGAAATTACAACTGTCCCTTCTAAGAAAATAATTCAGAAAGGAAAGCAGCTTTCCTAAAACTGAAGCAGAAGAGAAGACCGTTATTTTAGAGAGAGGGTTGTAAGTCAGCGAGGGTGGAGTGAAAGAGGGAGAGAGAGAATCCCATGAGGGGCAGAGGGTGGGAGGGAGAGAGAGAGAAAGAGAGAGAGAGAGAGAGAGAGAGAGAGAGAGAGAGAGAGAGAAAGAAAGAAAGAAGCGGGGCTCACCCAAAGCTCAGGAACTGTGAGATCATGACCTGAGCCAAAGTCAGATGCTTAACCTGACTGAGCCACCCAGGCACCCCAAAAGAGAAGGTCCAGGAAGAATAAGCTTAACCATCATGCCACCATCAGGTTGCTTCTCATTTCTGAGTGGGTCATGAAGAAATGGAGAGCAGCAACCCATAGTGCTCACTGTGGTTGTCAAGGGCAGACCCGGCCAGCCATGAAGAAGCTCTCCTACTGTGATGTGGCCCAAGTCAATACCTCAATGAGAGAAGAAGACATACCTTAGACTAGACCTACCATGATGTTTTCAATGCTGCCAACAAAAGCTGTGTCAGTTAAATGGACTCCAGCTCATTGGGTTTAAATATATTATAGTTTTCTGTGACCCAAGAAAAAAATTACAACTGTGCTGTGCCCCTCAACACACACACACACACACACACACACACACACACACACCCCTACCTTATTCCTCTTCTCTGCTTTGTTCTTCTCAGTAGCATGTTTTACAATTCGATAAACAGGATATTTTTTAATTTGTTTCATGTTTCTTTTTCGAATATAAATTCCCCTGAGGGCAGGGACTTTTGCTCATTTTGTTCACTGTGCATGCCTCCATATCCCCTCTCTTAGAAAATTGCCTGGCATCATGTAAGTGTTTTGTATTTGTTGAATGAATGAATAAACAAGTGAAAGGTTCCTACCTGCAAATTTCTTAAGATGTTGGGCCACATTTTAATCAGTTTTATATCTCAAAATCCTAGCTGTGTAATTGGCAAAATAAATGTTTATTGAAAGGGGGTTGTTGTAGTGACAGCATATTTATAGAAGTTTAAACAGCATATTTTAAAAGTTTATGTCAACAGAATCCTTTTTTTTTTTTTCTGTTCAGAAAATATCAGGTAAAAAATCTGGCTATTATACCACAAATCATAAGAACAGCTCACTTAGCCATATAATAAAGGATAATTTTTTTAAAAAAGGATAATTATATGTTATGTATTTGACGTCTACAGTGTTGAGAATTTCATACTTGATAGGCAATTTTTATTTGATATGTGAAAATTTTAGTAGCTTTTGAGGATATCACTTTTTACTTAATGCTATTGAGTTACTTTAAAACTTTCTCTGTGTGTCAAAGTTGTAAAAACTGTTATTTGGTGTAGTAGTTGCTAAGGTAACCATCTTAATGAGCAATTAATCATGTGAAATCAATGGAACGTATCCATGTGTAAAATTTCAACTCCAGTGGTTCAGAAAAAGACACATCATTATTTTCATGTTTTAAAATGAAATTCAAATTTTAGTCATATGGAGGGGCCAAAGATGCCACGTCATATTTCTTAATAAAATGTGTGATTTGCATTTTAGGTGTTACTAGGATTTGCTAGTATAAAATACTCTTTACCTTATGAGTTTCAAACCAATAAAGAGAGAGGCATCAAAGTCTGTCAGATAAAGATAAAATGATCCATCCTGTGATTGATAAAACTGAATCGAGGATGATAGCTTGAATCTTTGGTCACAATCCAGTCTGTTCCAAGCCTAGATCATGGGATGACTTAACCTGGAAGAGATTCTGAAAACCCACTCAGAATCACTCCTTTGAGTGCATATGCTTGAGCTCCACTACTGGGGAGAGAAGAGTGGGCCTTTTAGAAGGCAAGCTATGCCTGAAGTTACTATATTTACCAGATGGAAATGGGAAAATGGACCCAAACACAACCATTCCTCAGCCCCCTGGAAGAATTAAAAATGGAGCGATGCTAAGTCAGGTCTTCATATTCACAAACAAAGAAGCCTCTCACATCATCTGGGGAGAATCAAGTGGAGGACAAAGAGACTGGCAGGTGCTCTCTCCCCATTACATTTAAAAAAAATAAACTTATTATTTTTAAAATATTTATTTATTTTTGAGAGAGAGAGATAGAGAGAGAGAGACAGAGTGCAAGCAGGGGAGGAGCCGAGAGAGACGGAGACACAGAATCTGAAGCAGGCTCCGAGCTATCAGCACAGAGCCCAATACGGAGCTCAAATCCACAAACTGCGAGATCATGACCTGAGCTGAACTCGGGTGCTCAACCGACTCAGCCCCCCAGGTGCCACCTAGGTAAACCTATTAAAGTAGAATGCATGTGGGGTGCCTGGGTGACTCAATCGGTTAAGTGGCTGACTTTGGCTCGGGTCGTGATATCATGGTTCCTGGGTTTGAGCCCCTCATCAGGCTTCACACTGATAGTGTGGAGCCTGCTTGAGATTCTCTCTCATTCTCTCTCTGTCTCTGTCTCTCTCTCTCTCTCTCTGCCCCTACCCCACTTTCTCTCAAAAATAAACTTTAAAACAAGAGTCTGTTTCTTGTTTTGCCTCTCATTAAATAAATAAAAAATAACCTAGAATGTATGTTGGCATACCATATATGCAGAAAAATGCAAAAATCATGAGTTCAATAAATTTTACAAAATAAACACACTTATGTAACTAGCACCCAGATTTTAAAAAGAGAAGGACACCATCCTTTATCCTAAAAGTCCTTCCTGTGCCAACTGATCCACAAGCAGCTTAATTGCATGATGAAACACAGTTTAAAACTCCTTAAGGGGCTATAACAAAATCTAGCATACCAATAACATAAACTCAGAACAACCAGGAACCAATCAAAAATTATTCATGAAAAGAAGCAGGAAGAGGGGGGTTAAGATGGTGAAGGAGTAGGGTGACCCTAAGCATGCCTCCTCCCTAAAACACAACTAGATAAATACCAAATCATTGTGAACACCGAAGTATCCCGCTCTGAGGACTGAGAGAACAAAGCTGCATGTCTATGAGCAGAAAAAAAGACCAGCTCATGGAAGGTAGGAGCTGCAGAGAACTGACTGGGGGAGGAAAGAGCCGTGGGTGCTGCAGAGGGGAGACAGCCCTGATCGCAGAGAGAGGAATGAGAGAGAGAGAGTTTTAAAAAAAAGAGTGAAAACACGTGTAGGGGATTGCACAAGAAAACTCTTCCCCCAAACTATTGAGTGGGAAAAGGAGAGGGTTTAAATACCGCAAGTTTTTTGTATAAACAGAACAGAGTTTGAAGTTTCAGAGGTCAGCACCATAGCCAGGGTGGTGCCTGGCATCATTAGCAGTACTCCAGTGGGGAAGGAGGCAGAGACCTGGGAGTAGGCAGTGTGGTCCGAGGATCCCCTAGGTCACAGGGGAAGAAACAGTTCCCGGGCTTGGAGTGCATTTGGTAGGGGTGGTGCCTCTTTGGGGGCAAAAGAACCGGTGGGCAATATTGCGCTGCTGTATTCACCAGCACAGGAACAAAGATGCCGGCTGAGAGCAGCAAACCATGGCACCAGCTTTGTGCTGCAATGTCCTATAAACGCCCAACTGCCACGCAGTTGGGCGACTGCTTTCTGGGACAAACTGGCATCAGCCAAAGCACAGCCAGACCCTCCCCAAGAGGACCAGCACGGGTCTGAGCCCTGAAGGACCTCTGAGGCTTGGAGTTTTAAAACTCAGCCACCCCTGAGAGAAAACACAGGAGTGCTGTGCCGCCCGCCAGGTGGACAGCTTGGACACAGATAGGGTGAAGGCAAGGATCTGACAGAAGCCAGGGACACAGGAGGGGTGATTGTTTGCTTGTCTGTGAGGGCTTCCTAAGGAGTGGTGGGTGCGAGCTCCCTGCTGCAGAAACGAGAGAGCGGGAGGAAGCCATTCTCCCCCTGCCCATCACCTCTGAGTTCAGTGAGCAAAACAGTGCCAACAAGTGGAACTCTGGCCTCCTGCACCCTACAGGTGCATCTCCATTAGGGCAAGTAGGTCTGAGAACCAGAGCAACAGGCTCCTCCCCCCGAAGACCAGCACAAACTCCTGGTGTGTACCAAGTCTATTGATCACATAGTGCTGCAAAGCTTCAGCTCCAGGGGAAACACGATCTAGCTTCCTTTGGGTTTGTTTGTTTGTTTTTGATATAGGTACAGACTACAGAAAAAGCAATTTTTTAAAATATTATTATTTTATTTATTGTTTCCGGATCAAGCTCCTCCGTTTTTTTCAAGCTCCTTTTAAAAAGCAGACCAAACACACTTAGGATCTAGCTTCCTTTTTTTTTTTTAACTTCCAAAGTGACAAGACAGAAGAATTTACCCCAAAAGAAAGAACAGGAAGAAGTGATGGCCAGGAATTTAATCAATACAGGTATAAGTAAGATGTCTGAATTAGAATTTAAATAAAAAATTACAAGGATACTAGCTGGGCTTGAAAAAAATCATAGAAAAC